ATTATTATTATTATTATTATTATTATTATTATTATAATTATAGATTATCAAATTTGGGCTACTAGTAAAATATAAAGAAAAGATAATAATCCATTCAATTTTTTTTTGTTTAAAATCGATCTATTCATTTAGTACCAAGGAAAAGAAAATAAAAATATTTTTTTTTACTTGTCTCATTGAGTGTCTATCATTTGTATCAATTATATATAAGAGTTTTTGTGATGTTGAACATAACACTTAAGATATTTTATTAAGTTTATAATGTTGATGATGACCGATAAATATGTATATTGTAGTGTTGGATAGGTTCAAGTTTTAATATGACGATGTTTATTACTTTTTAAGTTTGATATTTAAAATATTTAAAATAATATTTTATAATGTTGATAAAAATATTTATAATATTAAATATTTTATCCATTAATTACATGAAAAATATATTTTACAAGTTATCTAATGTAATTTTTAAAATTTCTTATTTTACTGATAATGTACGAATCTAATCAAAACCAAATGTAATTAAACCATATTGATTGAAATTAAAAACTAAAAAAATTCAACTAAAATTAATCGAATCAAATTAAAACATACATCAAATTCAACGTATGGAAACTCCTATATATATATATATATATATATATATATATATATATATATATAAATATGGTTAATGTTGGAGAATTTATGGCACTTGATTATTATTTTACATACACTTAACATAAATTATATTTATACTTAACCCACATCACATAAACGGACAAAAACACACACATATACCCAGATCGAAAATGAGAAGAAAAAAAAATCATAATTACAAATATCTAAAGTCAGAATTTGAGAAATAACCAACACAAATCAGCAACAAAAAAATATTCAAGGAATCAAATAAAAAAGAGACAGGAACGGAGCCAGGGCATGGTGTTGTTCTTGTTCCCTGTGGCACTCGCAGAGAGGATGCCGCAACCCCCATAAAGATCATGGATTCATCAGATCAATAACGAAGTTGCCACAAGCATAATCTATATATACTATATAAACCGTGTAACTAGTATACACACAACACAAAAAGTAGAACAAAATTTCTTGTCTCTGTATTATTATATTTAGGGTGAAGTACACCAATTTACAAAGCACACGCTAATGTGTATTGTTGCATAAAATTAGTCAAGGATTAAATTACATAGCACTCATAAGGAGCCTCCATTCTTCCGGTGTCGCTGTTGTTGTCGTCATCAGAATGGAACACAATGTTCAATGGGTAACATTCAAACGTTAAAGGGCGAACCCTAGTGCGCACAGCGCCATGCCACCAAAACCTAACCCGAGCGAGCAACGTAACTCGAAAATCCACGTAACCGCGAGCCTGTTGCTGCGCGACGCCATTTACCACCCCGCGAGGAAACATCTTCCGGTCCACCCCGAACCGGGCTCGGACAGGGCTCTCGCTCGCGCCTTCGAGCCAGAACGGCCCGACCGAGGCCGAGGCGATGGTGCGGTGCCCGAACCAGACCGTGACCTCGAGGCTCTCGCACGAGAGAGTGAGGTTAGCATTCGGGTTCCGTGAGTTGACAGCGACATCAAACGTCGCCGTTAAGTCCCCATCCGAGGTTGTGCTGAGTGAGGAAACGGTAACGGAGTTTAGCTGAAAGGATGGGAGCACGGGTTTTATGACTATCCATAACATGACGAAGTCGGTGATGGCAAAGATAATGCCAAAGCAAATTAAGGCTTTGGAGAAAAAGTTGAGTTGAAAGGAGCGTTTTGTGGTTGGCATGGCTGACGGTGACGGTGACGGTGACTGTGACTGTGACGGTTCTAGGTTTGGGTTTGTGAACTTTTCCATTGTTGGAGATTGTGGATTGTTTGAAAGAGAAGGATAAGAGTGTTATGAAGGAAGAGTGAACACTAGGGACTCTTAACATGAAGGTTTCAGTCGACAGTTTTTCTCTTTATGCGAAAATTAGTGTGAGCGTGACACGTTGTACCAAGCCTTGTATATATTTTCCGATAACTTTACATTTTTTATTAGATAAAATGCTGCTTTTCATTACTTTATTAAAGTAAAAGTATATTCATTAAATTTAATTTAAATGTACAATCAATACATTAAATATTTTATTCATCGTATTCAATGTTTACCTTTAAAAAAGTAGTTCCGGAAAATGTAAAATACAATCATTCAACTTAAAAATATTAATATTTAAAAAGTTGTTACGACACCCTCAAAAATCGAGAGGTTCTAATATATTTTTTTATTTAAATTTATAAAAAAATTTAAAAAATTAATTTAATTATAAAATAAATAATCTAAATTATATTTATAAAATAAAAAATAAGATAAAATTATAAAGATTAAAATTATAAAATTTCAATAATATTATAAAATATTAAAAAAAGAAAAAATTTAATAAATA